CTATATTTATCAGGGATATTGGTCTATAATTTTCGTTTTTCTTTTTTGTGACGAAGATCAGCCCTGAGCTAACATCCATGCCAATCCTGCTCTTTTTGCTGAGAAAGATTGGCCCTTAGCTAACATCTGTGCCCATCTTCCTCCACTTTATATGGGATGCCGCCACAGCATGGTCTGACTAGCTGTGCCTTGGTGTGTGCCTGGGATCCAAACCTGGGCCGCCAGCAGCAAAGCGCACACACTTAACCACTATGCCACAAGGCCAGCCCCTCTGTTTTCTTAATATATGCATTTATCGTTATAAACTTCCCTGTCGGAAGTGCTTTTGCAGCATCCCATAGGTTTTGGTATGTTAATGTTTCCATTTTTGTTCATTTCATGATTTTTTTGATTTCCTTTTTGATTTCTTCTTTGAGCTATTGGTTGTTCTGAAGTGTCTTCTTTAATTTTCACATTTGTAGATTTTCCAGTTTCCTCTTGTTATTGATTTCTAGTTTGATACCATTGTGGTCAGAAAAGATACTTGGTATGATTTCAATCTTCTTAAATTTGCTAAGACTTGTTTTGTGTTCTAGCATATGGTCTATCCTGGAGAATGTTTTGTGTGCACTTGAGAAGAATGTGTATTTTGCTTCTTTTGGATAGAATGTTCTATAAATGTCTGTTAGGTCTATTTGTTCTAATGTATGGTTCAAGTCCAACGTTTACTTGTTGATCTTCTGTCTGGATGATCTATCAATTGCTGAAAGTGGGGTATTGAAGTCTTGTACTACTATTGTATCATTGTCTATTTCTCCTTTGATCTGTAAGTATTTGCTTAGTATGTTTAGGTGCTCAGACCTTGGGTTTGTATACATTTACGATTGTTATATCCTCTTGATGAATTGGACCCTTTATCTTTATATATTGACCTTCTTTGTCTTTTGTTACTGTTTTTGGCTTAAAGTCTATTTTGCGTGCTATAAATATAGCTGCTTTCTTTTGGTTTCCATTGTATGGAATATCTTTTCCCATCTCCTCACTTTGAGTCTGTGTGCGTCCTTAAAACTGAAGTGAGCCTCTTGTAGGCAGCCTATAGTTAGGCCTTGTTGTTTTATCCATCCAGCTGCTCTGTGCCTTTTGATTGGCGAATTCAATCCATTTACATTTAGAATTATTATTGACATGTAAGGACTTACTAATGTCTTCTTATTAAGTGTTTTCTGATTGTTTTGTATTTATGTTGTTTCTTTTCCCCTCTCTTTCTGACTACTTTTGCAAATTGGTGATTTTCCATAGTGATATGCTCTGTTTCCCTTTTCTTTATCTTTTGTGCATCTACTCTAGGTTTTTGCTTTGTGGCTACCATGAGTCTTACATGAGGCATCTCATAGATAAAACAATCCTGTTTAAGCTGGTAGCAACTTAACTTTGATTGTCTACAAAAGCTTCACCTTATTTATTTATTTTTTTCGGTGAGGAAGATTGGCCCTGAGCTAATATCTTCCAATCTTCCTCTATTTTGTATGTGGGATGCTGCCACAGCATGGCTTGGTGAGTAGGGTGTAGGTCTGTGCCCAGGATTTGAACCCATGAACCCTGTGCCACTGAAGTGGAGTGCGTGAATCTAACCACTATGCCACCAGGGTGTGCCCCAACACTTCACTCTTTTACTCCGCCCTTCATATTTTGATGTCATTATTTATCTCTTGTTATGTTGTGTATTCATTAACAAATTATAGTTGCTATAGTTATATTTAATGCTTTTTCCTTTGACCTTTGTACTGTAGTTAAGTGGTTAACACACATCATCCTATCAAAATTTTCTAAGCCTGACTGTATATTTACCTGTACCAATGTGTTGTATATTTTCATATGTTTTCATGTCATTGATTAGCATCTTTTTATTTCAGCTTGAATAACTTTTGTCAGCATTTCTTGCAAGGCAAGACTAGTGGTGATGAACTCGCTCAGCTTTTTTTTGTCTAGGAAGGTTGCAAAAATTATTTTTGTGTTCTAGATACAAGTTCTATGTAGGACATAAGTATTACAAATATCTGCCCCAAGTCTTTAACTTGCCTTTTCACTCTGTTGATGCTTGTTGATGAACAGACATTGTAATTGTAATGAAATATAATTTATGAATTTTAAAAATTGTTTTACTTTTTAGGTCATTTTTAAGTAACCGTTGTCTCTTCCAAAGTAATAAATGCATGCTATGCTTTCTTCTAGAAGTTTTATTGTTTTACTTTTCTTGTTAAACCTACAGTCCAGTTTGGATCTGTTTTTTGTGTTATGTTGTGAGGTAGAGATAATAGGTAGAAAAATTTAACTGAGTAGACAACCCAGAATTAGTGTTAAGTGCTATGGGAAATTCAGTGTATTATGAACATGAGGCATCTTAAATTAGTTAAGATAAATAGAAACTTTTAAATAAATATTGTTGGGCTAATTGGATAGCCATATGGAAATAGATTAAATTGGACCAATTTCTTACAAAGATAAATTCTCAAATGGAGAATCTAAATGTTTATTTAAATCCATGTAAGTAGGAGGAAACATGGATAAATTATTTTCTAACCTGGGGCATAAAAGATGGCCTAGCTCCATTAATTATCTGAAAAGTGTAAGATGCCCTTCACAACCACTAGAATAGCTAAAATTTAAATGCCTGATAATATTTGGTGATGGGAAGTATGTGGAGTAACTGGAACTATCATACAGCACTGGTAGGACTATATATTGGTACCACCACTTTGGCAAGCTATTTGACAGTTTCTTTTAAAGCTATGCATGTGCCTACCCTATGACTCATCAATTTTACTTTTAATTACCTACCCAAGAGAAATGAGTGTGTATGTCCACCAAAAGTTTTATACAAAGTTGTCCATAGTAGCTTTACTCAGAATAGCCCCAATCTGGAAGCAACTCAATGTCCATCAATAAGAGAAAGAGAATCAACTTAATAAATGTAATATATGTATACAATTGGAAAAAAAGAACAGACTTTTGGTATAAGCAAAAACATGCATGAATCTTAAAAATATTATGATGAATGATAGAAGCCAGATTTAAGAGAGTACTCTCTGGGCCGGCCCCGTGGCTTAGCGGTTGAGTGTGCCCGCTCTGCTGCTGGCTGCCCGGGTTCGGATCCCCGGCGCGCACCGACGCACTGCTTCTCCGGCCATGCTGAGGCCGCGTCCCACGTACAGCAACTAGAAGGATGTGCTGTGCATCTATGACATACAACTATCTACTGGGGCTTTGGGGGAAAAAAATAAATAAATAAAATTTAAAAAAAGAAAAAAGGGGGAGTACTTTCTGTATAATTTAATTTATGATAAGTGTAAGAACAGATAAAAATTATTCTGTGGTGATAGAACTCAGAATAATACCTTTGGGGGAATAGATGGTTACCTGAAGAAACACTTGATGATGGAAGTGTTCTATGCTTTAACTGGGATGGTGGTTATACAGGTTCATACATTTGTCAAATCACATCAAACTGTATAGTTAAAATATGTGCATTTTATTGCATATGAATTATACTTCAGTTAAGAAGATACAGTAACTATATTTCAACTCATAATGAATAATGAATCTAGTTAATAATAGTTAATGGAGACTAAAACTGTTAGATGAAAGATTGAAGGGAAACTTTATATTGTATAGACAATTCTGAGAACAAACAACTTATGTGATCAATCTTGACATCATTAAAACTAGGAAAACATGTGCCTTCAGATATTTCCAAAAGGGTTGGGCCAGATTACTCTTTCTAAAGTTCCAGGCCTATTTTGTAAGACCTTTATATAATGGTAGTATTAATTATGAATTTTGAAGTAAGATTAGCCAATGAGTTTTGGAAGAATCCCATCAAAAATAATTTTTGGTTAAGATATTTGAATACTGGAAAGTCCCATAATAAGAAATGTTCTTTGCATAATCCCTTTGAGGAAAACACGTGGTATACTGGCATGGGAGTGAACATTCTTTGTCTGGTAGGAAATGGTAGGTTACCGTATCTGGTACACTCAACAAAATAGATATGCAGCCAGAAAAAGCATGAAGGCATCATAAGTCCTGCAAACTAAACAGATGGACAAGAAAAATTCCATCAACTTTACGGGCTGTTCAATTAAACACAATAAAGATTCATTGGCCAGCTAAAGGCAATAGGGATGAGTAATACATGGCACCTGTGCTTGCTGTGATTTATAACATACTGGGGCAAATCAGACAAACAAAGAAATGATTCACCACGACAGAGTGTCAAAAAAAGTATCCACAAAGTGACTTGGGTATTCAAAAGAGGGAGAATTTGTATAGCAATGATGTGGGTTGCTGGGAAGGTGATGGTGGAGGTGGATGACAAAGGAAGAAAGGAATAGAGAAAGATTAGGAGAACAAAGGAAAGAAATGAGAGTTGTGATGTATCTTGAATGTACATCTTGACAGGCCTAGATATGGCCATATGTGAGCTATGAATGTCACAGAGTCAGGAAATTCCTTATTTGCTGTTTCCTACTAACACTGTATATGGAAGTACTTTGTAAAGGCCAAGAAAATCGTGACTGAGTCTGAAATGGACACTGTCCCCTGGGGAAAATAACTTTGTGTCTATAGAGGAAAATCTTGTGTGCCCACCATCCATTTTGTTGCTATTTCCACTTAATTATAGTAATGGTAAATGGGAGTTTTAGATAAAAATATTTGTGAATTTTCAGCTGAGGGATTTCTAGTCCACCTCAACTATCTAAGCTGGTCACAAGGTTCTAAACAGTCTGGTTTTTTTTTTTTTTTTTTTTTTTTTTATAATTTTATTTATTTATTTTTTCCCCCAAAGCCCCAGGAGACAGTTGTATGTCATAGCTGCACGTCCTTCTAGTTGCTGTATGTGGGACGCGGCCTCAGCATGGCCAGAGCGTCGGTGCGCGCCCGGGATCTGAACCCAGGCCGCCAGCAGCGGAGCACGCGCACCTAACCGCTAAGCCACGGGGCCGGCCCTAAACAGTCTGGTTTTAAATTTTATCATACTGAGCCTCTTGGGGCGGGCTTCTTGGAGTATGGAAATGTCAATCCCTATAATGGGAGAAATGTGTTGTTCAGAATTACTGTCCTCTGACTGAGGTAGGAACCAAGCTGGAGGCATCAGGAAGGATGGCATTGAATTAAAGAGAGAGCTGGGGCTACTTCCAGGACAGACAGGGCAGGAAAGCAGGGGCAGGTAGAGCGTGAAAGGGGAGAAACATCAATAACATTCTAAAGTGAGACATCAGGAGGGCAAATATCTTAGAGTTTGAAGTTACAATAATTTTGGTTGCAGCATTTATGAACATAAGTCCGACTGTTGAAATCATATGTCAAGTCTCTGCAGAATTTCTGACACACCATATAAGATAACTGGAGAATGCTATCTGTAATAAGAAGGAACCATAGAAAATAAGTGAGTGATCTAAGTTCTCTAAAGACAAGTCAAACCTGGCACTACTTTTGTCAGTGAAAAGTTAATTAGGCATCAGGGTAGGTTTATGGATGGCTTCCCAGCTTATACTTCCTGAGAGGACCCAGGCAGAGAGATGCAGACATCACTGGCCCCCTGCCGTGGTTGTTTTCCTGAGGTCCCTGACAACCCTTAACTCTTTGTATAGCTGCTTCATTCCTTTTCCTACTAGAAGATAAGCAACTAGTGCTTTAGTGTCTTCAAAGTTAAAATCTGTTTCGTCAGTTTTATGGGGATTATAGCATCTCTATCTTCTTTCTCCTGTCCCATATTCCCAAATCCTCTTCTGTCTGCATGCACAGGGACTGGTGCTCAGGGACTTTCTGCATTGTGGTTCCTCTCCTAGATTGGCCTTTGTCTGAGCTAGAAAATTGCTGCAATACTCTCCTAAAAATTTTCTAAGACTCTCCCAGTACCTTCCCCAACCCTCTAACTTACCCTGGAAGATCTTTAAGTTCATGCATCTCTCGTGCCTCCGAGCAACACACATACCAAAGCCTCTTCTACAGCGATCTGTCTGTGTGCGAAGGTGGCATGTTATGCACCTCAGTGGTGTCACTGCTGGAGAACACAGAGCTGGTGTAAGGCCAGAGGGATGCAGGAACTGAGAAGGAACTGGAAGTATCTAGATCTCGGGAAGGGGAACCGGGGTTGGATGAAGAGCTGGTAGTGGGGTATCGGGTTAGTAAATGGAGCTTTTGCCAACTCCACATCCCAGAGAAACGCCGTTGTGAGAATAAAAGGATTCTGGTCTCAACTTCAGCCCTTTCAACCTGGGTAACTTTGAGCAAAGATTTAGCCTCCGTGGCATTGGTTATTCCAGCTTACAAATGGTTCTATTAATGCTGGTCTGGCCTACTTGGCAGCACTGTAGATAGACAGGAGTGTGAAAATGAGCGTGAGTGCTTTAACATATTTTACACAAGCTAGTGTCACTATGATGGGATTCTTAGATATTGTTAGGTGATCTACTCTTATTTTGAACTTCAAACTGAATCTATGTGAAGGCCTCATGGACTACAGCATAGTCAGTGACACTTTATGTGTACTGTGGGCTCAGCTAATCAAACTACAGGTTTAACTTTTTAAAAAACCTCTCCCTACTTCACCTAAGTAGGAAAGGAATATAGCATTTATTGAGCATCTCATTAGGGCCATGTTCTCTCATTTTGTAGCTGATTTATTCCTCACAAAATCCTTGTAAATAGGTATTCCTCCACGTCTCAGGTGAGCAACCACAAGTACAGGGAATTTAAGGCAGTGACTGAACTATATTTTTTACCTGTCTGATTCCAGGGCATCCAGTATTTTCTCTCCTACAGTCGCTTGTATTAATATAAAGCCTCTGATAAGGGTATCAAAAGCCATTGTCTGGCACTAAAACTGACTACAAAATTATTCATTAGAGACTGACCAGCTCCCTCAGAAAATGGGATACAGATTTATGAATGGAAAGGATGTCCTAAGGAAAATGTTGCTAGAATTTTGGATTATGAGGAATGGTAGGGACATAGTGGGCAACTGTAGAGGCTTGAGCCCCTGGTGGGGAGTGGCAGAATGGTGAAAAGGTCAGAAAAGTTGGCAGGGAAGGCAGAAGGAGCATTCTGAAGACTGGCTTCCCCTCCCTTATAAATGTGGTCAAGGCTCAGCCGTGCGTGGACACCTATAGCACATGTGAAGTTTCCTGGGGATCCCTAGATCCTGTCTCTGGAGCCGACTCCTCAGATCTGTGACTTACCTACGAGGAAGCAGAAGAGGGAGAAGACCAACAAGAAGTGTTTGTCCATCCTGACCCAGAAGTCCTTTGTACAGGAAGAAAAGAAGCCAGGGGCTGCAAGCACAGTTCTTAGGCTACAGGGAGGAACTCTTGTTTTTCATGATAGGGCAGGGATTATTCACGCCTAAGAGGAACCAGTCACACAAGATTTCCTCTGGGAGCTCAAGATCATTCTCTCCTCCACCCCACAGCAGAGAGTAATGATAATTAGTAAATGTTGGGGTTTACGTTAAGTTTTGTTTTTTCCGTATAATCTTCATCATAGTAATTATTATTATTATAGTTATGATACTGTCACTTTTATCCCAATTTCATAGAGGAGGAAACTGAGGCTTGGTGAGGTCCAGTATCTCACCCAAGATCACATAGCTAGTAGCTGATAGCACCAGTATACAAAGCAAGACTCTCTAATTCTAGAGGGACACTTTTAACCACCTTGATTCAATGCCTCTTTGAGATTTATTCACACATTCAACAAATATTTACTGAGAGCTTTTGTGTGCCAGGCACAGTTCCATGCATGAGAGCAGAGCAATGAATAACTCAGACAAGCTCCTCACCTTATGGGTGAAAAACAGGAGAGCGAGAGAGATGAAAAGATGTATAATCTATGACCAAGCTGGGCCTTCAAACTAGAACTTCTGACTCTCAGCCCAGAACTCTTTCATCTTACTGGAAATCTGTCCTCCAAGGCTGGGACTGTGTACTTTGTAGGATGTGAAATCCCCCTAGAATTGTCACACAATTTGATCTTTAGCAAATTTGTCTTGTGAATCTGGCTGGTTTTGTCCCTGATTTAGATATCTATCTCTACAAAAGTTAACTCCGTTAAGTTTCACCATGGGTAAATCACCGGAAAGCTATGACCCAGCCTGGCATGCTAAGTGTCCTAAACCTGTCAGGGAGCTGATAATACTTTGGCTGGAGATACTAGGAATCTTCCATACTGAACTGATTCAATGGCATGTTCTTTAGTTGTAGGAACAATATGTTCATTAAAACATATCAAGACTGCCATTTTTAGACATCAGATGAAGATTGGGTGAAATAAGGTCTTAGGTCAAATGCCACAAAATTTACAATGTTCTTTTCTATGACCAATCAGAGTGTGGAGCCCATCTTTGCTTAAGAAGAGGGCTAGAAGCGTTAGACATGAGAAAATTGGTTCCTTTGAAAAGAATTGATTCTGGAATGGAGTGCAAGATTGTGAAGTCTTCGAATCTAGTTTTGTATTCTGCCATATTTCAGGAGAGGATGTTAGAAAGTGGATGGCGTTTTTTCAGGACTTTCCAAAGCCTTATCAAGAAAGCAAATCCCTGAGCCTGTGGTGCTTGGGTTTACCAGGCTATTAGGACTTTTCATTAGTCACCTGTTTCCTCTGCTTTCTCTGTTTAAAGAGAGTGACTCCAGAATCTAGAATCACTCTCTTTAGTGAGTTTCTGACTCTAGAATCATAGCAAAGGAAGCAGACATTCTAGGTTAAACTGCCATGGGTTTGCACAGTTTCTATTCCTCTTCCTTCAAGGTCTCCCTCGGCAGATGCTTTTTAAAAGGCCCATTGAGTTTTGAATCTCTTTTCTACTGGATTATTTCCAGGTAGAATTGTGGAATTTTGCAACTCCACTCAAGCATTGGGATCCTCTGACCTAATCCTCCCCTCCCATAATAACTCATCCATCAATTTTCTCTTGAAAACAATTTCTTTCTTCATTTAGCATGGAGTAGGAGAGGATAGGTATTAGAATCTATTAATAGGAGTAGTGTGGTATAATAAAAAGAGCATTTTCCTGGGAGTCTGGAGAGCTGTGATTGATTACTGTGTAACTCATGGCATCTTTAGCAGGCCACTTATCTGTGATGTTAGATTTTGGCCATTTTCATGGTCCTTTACAACTTTAACATTCTACAGTTCCATGATGTAAATCATGAGGATGGGTACCAAGTTCTGTTATTCTTTTTTTTTAATTTTTTGTTTATTGCAGTAACATTGGTTTATAACATTGTAAAAATTTCAGGTGTACATCATTGTACTTCTATTTCTGCATAGATTACATCATGTTCACCACCAAAATACCAATTACAACCCATCACCACACACATGTACCGAATTATCCCTTTCACCCTCCTCCCTCCCCCCCTCCCCTCTGGTAACCACCAATCCAATCTCTGTCCCTATGTGTTTGTTTATTGTTGTTATTATCTACTACTTAATGAAGGAAATCATACGGTATTTGACCTTCTCCCTCTGACTTATTTCACTTTGTATTATACCCTCAATGTCCATCCATGTTGTCACAAATGGCTGGATTTCATCGTTTCTTATGGATCAAGTTCTGTTATTCTGACCTAGCACTCTGCTTGGCACACGGTGATGTGCTGAACATATGATGGCTGAATGAAGGAGTGAATGAATGAAAGTATAAATCTCACATCATACTACTCTCCAGGATCCTACTATCATGATCCCACATGATATGTAGGCATTGAGGCACAGCATCCAAATTAATGCACTCTCATGCCAAGAAAGCCATCCACCAAGCAAAGATGGCATTTGCCCTGCTCTGAGGAGGAGAAAGCAGAACATTGTGTCCTCATGTTCATGATCTCTCCTGGCTCCAGGGTGGGTGACTGAGATCTTGGTGATACCATGGATGAGCAGTCCTCTTAACTGGTGCTTCTAAATGCGCTCTTTGTTTTGGGGAAATGGACCTTGGCATAGAGTCAGGGATCAGGCTGCTTTGTTCTGGGTTCCCTGGGGCAGCAATGGTTTTCTGGAGTGTCTATAGAGCCTGTAGTGAGAGATAATGATCCTTTAAAAAATGTGGTGGAGAGGTACTTGCTTGTGGGGCTCAGGGAATTCGCCTGGAGTACATATATAGTCCCTCACACTTCCAATTGCTGGTGGGAAGAGAGGTGAAGGAAAGAAGAACAAAACCAACATTTACTGAGTATTTGCTGTGTGCCACACACGAGGCTAGCCACTTCTAGATCATCTCATAGAGCCCTCACAACACCCTGGTGGCGAAGTGTCTAGCAAGGAGCACAGCTGAGGTTCAGGGCTCAGCATCACTGAAATTCAGGCTTCATTCACAATATTGTTGTTAATATGATGCTTCAGATGAAAAGTCACAATGGATGATAAAAAGTATCAAAAAACCCTTTCAGAACCGCTTATGGACTGATTTTATGCATGTAATTATCAGATTTTTGTTAGCACCTTACCTCCATTCCTGAACAAGGTTAATTAATATGGGGCCTAGTGTCCTCTTAATTTCATGGGGTACATGAACTTTGACAGAAAATTTTATATTTTTCATTAACCTGTAACTGACGATAACATTTCCCCTTCCATATTGAATGTTGGCAACAATCTACAAGAGTGTTAGATGAGTCTGAGACTTTGTTACCAACAAAAATAGGTGAAAGGATGAGAATTAGACAGTTTCATCTGCGTCTTTGAACTTGCTAGGACACAAAGGCCACAGTGGTTTTATTTGTGTGGAAACAGTCTTGTGATTGCAAGTGTGAAGCCAGACAAAATGAAAGTGCATCTCACTTCTGTCTGTCCCGAAAATGCATCTCAGGATCCGGAATTTTCCCTAATAAGGAAGCTCAGTTTGAAAAAGTTGGCACATTTCTCAACGTAGCTGCACCATTTTACAAAACGGTTTTCCTGGGGCTTCCGTACATTTTCTTACCAGCTTGCTGAAGGAAGAGAAGCTCCATTTTATTGGACAACTTTAATAAACCATGTTGGAACTTGTGTGTGCACTGCACCAAAGGAAAAATCTATAATCCATTTTCTTTGTCAAATAGAATAGTTGATATTTCTTCTTCTTTTTTTTTTTTCTGAGGAAGACTGGCCCTGGGCTAACATCCGTGCCCATCTTCCTCCACTTTGTATGGGACGCCGCCACAGCACGGCCTGACAAGCGGTGCATTGGTGCGCGCCCCATCCAAACCTGGGCCGCCAGCAGCAGAGCGTGAGCACTTAACCACTATGCCACAGGGCCGGCCCCTGATATTTCTTTTAAAAATTTGAAGCAGTCATTGAGGAATTGGCGCTTTTGCCACCCACCTTCATTTTACAATTGGATGAAACTAAAGGCATCTTTGATGCAGCCGTTTCCCCTCTTCCTCTTGGGTTTGCTTGCTTTGTGCAGGCTGAGGCCATCGCAGGATTCTTACATCAGGAGTCTCTTCAGGAAACTGTAAAAGTCAACAAGTTTGGCAATGGTAAAAAGGTGATTTTATCATAGAAAACTTTGAAACAAAAGCTTCTTTTCTCTTTTCTCGGATAGAGCTCCTACAATGCTTGATAACCACCTGGTTTTCCAACTTTTGTGAAAAAGGAATCTCCTCACATCCTGGCCACTCACTTATTTCACAACAGACATGCACCGATAGCAAAGACTCTTCAAAGAATCCTAAAAGAAATTCTGTCATCAGCTAAAAAAGCCATCAACTTTATCCAAAGTAGGTTTCTAAATCATCACATTTAAAAAATATTTTTGTGGAGAATAAGAAAGGCTTCTCTATCACATAGAAATTCTCTGGCTTTCAAAAGGACAAGCCTTAGTACCCATTCTGATAAGAGAAGTTTCATTTTTTCTTTAAAGAAAAAGAAAACCTAGCTTTGAAACACTTTAGAAGAGAGGACTTCATTCATGGCCTGGCTTACCTGAAAGATACTTTTAACCATCTGAACGTGATAAATGTTTCAATTCAAGATCCTGAATTTATTGTTAAGGTACTAATAAAAAATCAAAGCTTTCTTGGCTAAATCGCCGATACGCAAGAAGAGGGAAGAGGCCAACATCCTTGCAATTTTTTTTCTTCTTTTTTCTCCCCACTTTATTCAGATATAACTTACATATAGCACTGTGTAACTGTAAGGTGTATAATCTATTGACTTGATACACTTAAATATGGCAATATGATTGCCACCATAGCATTAGCTAACACCTCTACCGTGTCCCATAATTACTATTTCTTTTTTGTGGTGAGAAC